TGGAATTGTCTGGTCCTAAGGGATATTCCCAAAAAATGGGAATTTCATCAGACTCTATTGGATGAGAGTATAGACGTAGCTCCTCTGCTGCAGGAAACATTACTTAATCCGGGAGATCGCTTAGCTTTCTCGAATTATGATGTTATACGAGCTGACAGATTGAATGGTAGGGGTGGTGGCTTGGCAGTGCTCGTTAAACGTGGTACTGACTGTTGTTCTGGAGGTAGGTAATGGGCATTTCGTGGAGGAGGAAACTCATCCAAGGAAAAGAGTTGATTGGGAACTATGCAAGTCATTTCTCAAGGAGTTTCCCAGCGTCCCGGTCATACACGATGAGAACGGAATTGATGCTGCTCAATCGGAATGGACAAGTTTCGTTCACCAAACTCTACAGCGTGCTGCTGTGCTTCCGGTGCAGCGACAGGGCAGACCTTTTCTCCCTGCTGACATTCGTCGGAAAATTTCTGAAAAGAGGGCTGCGATTAAGCAAGCAAAAAGGTCTTGTCATCCTGAGCAGTGGAGCGACTTTCTGGCGGAGATGCTTGAATAAAGTATTCCTCTCTGAAAAGTGGCAAAATCGCTCAGAAACGGAAGGCAAGAACAACTACCACATATTCATGGTCCTGGAGGCATACTTTTCAGGACTGAGGATAAAGTGGAGATTTTTTGCTGACGTCATGGAAAGGTAGTTCTCTCCCAATTATGATCTGGACAATGACCTTGACGAGGAACGACAAATTGTAAGATCTGTCAGGAGATACTTCAGAGCGAATGGCGATACCAACATCGGTGCTAGCATCGGTGACTTCTTTTCAGAAGATTCTTCTACGGAAGACTCTTCAGATGAATCTCAGCATAGCACATCAACGGAATCCTGAGATTCCGTATTGCACACCAGCAGAGCTCCAAGGCCACATTAAGGACCTAAGGTGCGTGAAGCACCTGGAGAAGATCAAATCACCAACAAAGCACTGAAGTTGCTTTCACTCAAGGCTTTGACTTATCTGGTGGCAATAATCAATGCAATGCTCAGAACTCATTACTTTTCTAAGGCGTGGAAGGTCGCTGAAGTCATCATGATCCCAAAGAAGGCAGGTTTGATATTCCCCCAGGATTACCGTCCCATTAGTCTGCTGTCAGCTCCTTCTAAGCTCGCTGAAAAGGTGATTTATCGTCACCTTGAGAATTTCTCGTCAGATCACCATGTGATTCCTGACATGCAATTCGGCTTTCGGTCTGAGCATAGTACGGAATTACAGGCAGTTAGACTGGTGGAGCATTGAACCAGGGGGTTCACCCTGATCAAAAGTACTGGTATCTTGCTTTTAGATGTATCAAAGGCATTTGACAAGGTGTGGCACATGGGCCTCTTGTATAAGCTCATCCAAAAGGGTTTTCCATTTTGGCTACTAAATATTTTCTAGAAGGAAGGAAGTTTCGGATCAAAATTAACAATGTGTTGTCAACAACACGGCCCGTAAGAGCCGGTGTTCCTCAGGGTTCGGTCTTAGGACCAATCCTTTATTCACTTTATATACATGATGTCCCTTGCCCCAGCAACTGTAAGGTCTATCTCTATGCTGACGACACTGCATTGCTAGCCCAGTCTTGTTCTGGTAACCTGGTTCACGACAGGCTGCAGAGTGCGGTGGAGGAAGTATTGGAGTGGGCGGATCGGTGGTCGATCAAAATTAATACTTCGAAAACGCAGGCAATCTATTGTACTAAAAAACGTCGCGGTGCCCCCTCAGAGATATCAGTGAATGGAACTCGTATACCATGGGAGCAATCTGTCAGGTATCTTGGAGTCATCATTGACAAGGGGTTGACCTGGCAAAAACATACTGATATTTTGAAAACAAAATTCCAAATTACCTTTCGGCAGCTTTATCCTTTGTTGTGCAGAAATTCAAAATTAAGTTTGATCAACAAGATTCGGTTGTATAAAATGGTCATAAGACCCGCAATCACCTACGCATGCGCAGCTTGGTGTTTTCTTGCCAAGACGCACATGCAGAGACTGCATGTCCTTCAAAACAGAACCCTACGCACAATTACTAACGCCCCTTGGTACGTGTCAAATGAGACTGTTCACAGAGATCTTAATATCCCATATCTAAGGGATTACGTAAAACAATAGGCGCAGCGGCATTATAATTAAGCGGAATCGCACAGCAACCCTCTGTTGCGTGATTCAGTAGACTACACAGTCGAGCAAGTTCGCAAACATTCCAGGCCGCGCCTCGCACTGTCATCAAAATTAAATTGTAAATTCAGACCAGCCAAAATTATTTCTGTATACAAAACCGATCAAAATTATTATTTGGAGTTACAAAATAATTCGAGTAGTCAAGGCAATAATGCTTAAGCTATTTCGAATGATTTACTTCTTTTCTTTGCTCTATTTCTTCCTTCCTTTCTTTCTTTCTTTCCCTTTTACCCTTAAACATGTATGGTACCTGGGTAGCCAGACCTGACAGACTAACAGACCGACGAGACTTTTAACTAAGAGCAAAGGTCCACCGGACCGCTCTGACGAATAATATAGTATACGCAGGATTCAAAATATACTAAGTGACATATAAATCCGAACACCCAGTTTAAATGGTTTTATTTTAATAAAATTTTGTATAAGTACTTAATGAAGCATAATAAGTAAATGATAAAAATTTCAAAATGATTGCAGTGCTTTAAAGCCCTTTGACCTTTAATAATGTATGGATGCACCCTGATGTGCTATGCATTCTCCAACGCGCCTAGGCATGCTTCTGATCAGGTGGTCAATGTCCTCCTGTGGTATCTCATTCCAGGCAACCGCCAACTACTCTCGAAGTGCTTCTAGAGTCTTAGGAGGACGTTGCAAATTGAGCAATCTCCTACCCATCATATCCCACACGTGCTCAATTGGGGATAAGTCGGAAGATCTTGGTGGCCATGGTAACAATGTGACATCATTATGTCGAAAGAAGTCTATTGTGACTCTTGCAACATGTGGTCGGGCATTATCTTGTTGGAAAGTTGGATCTGCCAGGGTGTCAAGATAGGGTAAAAGATGGGGTTCTAGAACTTCGTGGATATAACGCTGCGCATTTATGTTACCTCTGATGAAGATTAAAGGTGACCTGGAACCATAAGCTATAGCACCCCAAACCATAACTCCAACAGTGTGATGAACATGTCTTTCAACAAAAAACTGTGGATTCCTCCTTTCACCACGTCGCCTACTAACCCTTACACCGACGTAATCTCCTTGAGTTGTGCAGACAACGGTCACTCTGGGATCAGGAATGGAACAGTATTGTCTTTAGTGACGAGTCTCGATTTTGTTTAGGCATGCACGATGGTCGTGCCAGGGTTAGAAGGCGACGTGGTGAAAGGAGGAATCCACAGTTTTTTGTTGAAAGACATGTTCATCACACTGTTGGAGTTATGGTTTGGGGTGCTATAGCTTATGGTTCCAGGTCACTTTTAATCTTCATCAGATGTATCACGAACGCGCAGCGTCATATCCACGAAGTTCTAGAACCCCATCTTTTACCCTATCTTGACACCCTGGCAGATCCAACTTTCCAACAAGATAATGCCCGACCACATGTTGCAAGAGTCACAACAGACTTCTTTCAACATAATGATGTCACATTGTTACCATGGCCACCAAGATCTCCCGACTTATCCCCAATTGAGCACGTGTGGGATATGATGGGTAGGAGATTGCTCAATTTGCAACGTCCTCCTCAGACTCTAGAAGCACTTCGAGAGGAGTTGGTGGTTGCCTGGAATGAGATACCACAGGAGGACATTGACCACCTGATCATAAGCATGCCTAGGCGCGTTGGAGAATGCGTAGCACATCAGGGTGCATCCACACATTATTAAAGGTCAAAGGGCTTTAAAGCAGTGCAATCATTTTGAAATTTTTATCATTTACTTATTATGCTTCATTAAGTACTTATACAAAATTTTATTAAAATAAAACCATTTAAACTGGGTGTTCGGATTTATATGTCACTTAGTATATAATATACAAGTTTCATACGTATAAACATGAGTGAATAAATTACGACAAAGTGTGCCATTCTTGAAACATGGATGTAGACATTCAACAATTTGTTCCAGCTATAAAAAGTGAAGATATGTACAAAATATCCCACGCTGAGCTGCCGAATGCGCAACCCAATACGGTCTATTGGTTTGACAGTTTTGTCTCCGACACCCGCTTCTTCTAACTAATTAAAAAAGTATTCACCTGTTTGCGAAATTAAGCTTCGTCGTAATTTATAACCCAGTTGTAATACCTAATTCTTTTAATTAACGTCGCTAAGGCCCTCTTTGTGAGTCATATTATTACTAACGCCCTACGCTGCGCTGGCGCTGGCTGCTTCAAAACGCCATTTATATCAGGTATGTGAAACAAATTACAGCACGTAGTGGTATTTTTGTATCTTATTAACTTACTAGTTAATGAGTTTAAGGCGCTCAAGTAAGGTAACAAATATCTCTAGACGCTAGTGCAAAGTTCTTCTGTGGTACATTTTCAACCATTATAAGTCAAAAATCATGCATAATAATCACCAGAATTAGATGCCAACTACTGCGATGGAGAAGAATGGACTATGTCCATCAACTTGTTCCCACGCGTCACTACCACTAATTTGCGATATCGGTACTACGAATTGAATCCACTCTGTCTAGGTGCAATTTGGTAATTGTAGAATTTGTTCATAATTCTAGGTTTTTTATTTTAGTATCCACTCAATACATGACCATTGTTGCATTCCAACAGGAGTGTCTAGACCTCATCTGAATGCCCGAAGTTTCCGAATTTGCTTCCGCTAACATATGTTTTTGTTTTCGACTCAGGTTAAGTACATTTCTGACCTCTTCCTAACTTTGAGGAATCGAATTTTGGCTAGCACATGCTTGTAAAAGTATTTTTGGACTGTACCTGCAATGAAAATGTAATAATGGTTTTATCTAATATACTTTTGTTTATTTTTCAGGTAAGCCACCACTTAACGTAGGCATTAAAATGAATAATTGGTAAGTGCTACAATGTTTGTTTTTAATATGGTCTAAGTGAATTAAAAATGCCTACTAAAGCTGCATCAGGATTGTCTTTCCAGTTCCTTAGTAAATTGTTTCAGTTACCGTTTTTCCTATGATCTCAAATAGGGAATTGATGTTTTTGAACTGTTATCAACAGGACCACCAGATGCTCTGAGGTGTCGATTACATTTATCAACATTGTCAATTAAACAAATCATTGACATCAACATCTGATCCATTTTTCTGATTTTGTGCCCCTAAACATGCTGTCATTAGCATCTAAACGTCAGCAAATATATTGGCGATGAATACTATGAGGTTATAATTTTGTTAGCCGGGAAGGAACCGATGGAAACAGCAATAGCATACATCCTCATATAGTTACGAAAAATTACCAGTGCTGCAACAGCTTCATATACTATCATTAATCTCCTAATTTGACAGTAATTGTATCGAATACTTTATGAAGCTGTTATTCTATCTCATTTTTGATTTACGAATCACTTATGTAACTTCTTACATACTCTAATTTTATAGAACAGACGCATGCGGATAATTGCCAGATTGAACAACATGTTATTAAGATGACTTTGTATTATATCTAGTGCGTACAATGAGAAAATTATGGAGGTAGCAGTTGGTAACCCGGTTTTAGATCAGTGTTGCGCGCAAAATGCGGTCAGGTATACTTCGGTACTTCCAGATTCTGTCATATTAATGACAACTAACGAAACCTCAAAGTAATTGGCCAGATCGTCATTTAGATTATATCCTTATATTTCATCTTTAATCTACGGATATTCCAACAGATTATATATTTCGAGAACTGGGCAGCACGACTGATTTTTTGTTTCTGTGGTATCGAAAATGTCTACCAGGAGACATTTTTTCCAGATTTTTTTTTATACTCCAACTACCACGAAGGCCTAAGGCCTAAACACCACTGGGTAACGTAGGACTATGGGGGATACAGGGGAAAGGGGGAACGCCACACGGACTCTGGCGAGGAAACACGTGTGAATGCAACATGCATACATTCTGGCTCCGCCTACGAGATCCGCCGGGTGGTACCTCCGCGTTCGGCAGTCAGAGACCGTCCCACCCACGGATAATCATAACATTCATAGCCAAGAGAAAAATTTCTCCTGGGACGGGATTCGAACCCGCACAGCGCACGGTGACTGATCAGAAGACCGAAGAGTCTACTACTGCGGCCGCCTACTAACATAGGCAGTTCAAAAATCAAATTAAGAATATGAGTGTAGCTTTTTTAAAACATTCATGGCACCTTGTTCTGCCTTCAGTTCAAGGCAACCACAATATAAAGAAATAATGGATTTACTATGTTTCGATTGAAATGATAGCATATTCCTTAGCCTCAGTATCGAAGAAGTAAGCAAAGTTTTTCCTATATTTAAACTGAATTCCTAAGTAAAGAACGTACCTACAGGATCAAAACAAGCCAAGCTTCGAATGTTGCACTAATGATGATTGTGGTCTACATATGTATGTAGCTCCGATGAAAGATTCAGTATTGTATTCAATTCTTACATGTAAAAGGAAACGGTATTGTAATTTTATAATCGTTATGCAGTGTCTTTGTTATTACCAGCACTTTTGCATCAATTATGATGCATACATATTTATAGGTGATAATATCTTAATTTGTAAGGCACGCGTGGGTATGTATGCACAAGATAATTTTTTCTGATCCAACCAACCTGATCCCCTAACAAAGATCAGCATCTACTCTTGCTGTCAAACCATAAACTGTGATAGATTACACATTATAGGAAGTAACATAATATGCTGTCTCTTCTCCGTACAAGAAATAGGTAAGTTGCACCAAAAGGTTGAGCGACTCTCTCTCTCTCTCCCTCCTCAACAGCCAGAAGGTTCGGCGCTCATCAGGAACTGCCCTAGTTTGTCTGTCAACTGTCAACTGTATATGCCTCTCCGAGTTCCCTATATGCCCATACGTCATAAGTTAAAAACGGTAGAGCAGAATAACTAGTAGTAGGTGGAGTGGCTCTATTATCTTTCGAGGAACTGTATTCTTTAACACTGGTAGAAGACTCGCTCCCCGGTTCATACTCAAGAAAGAAAAAGCGAAAGTATCGCCGTCGTCCATGAATCTCATCTCTAAGAACAAAGACAACTTTGTGATGAAATGTCTAATGATGTGAATAACCTTAAAACATATCATTTTGACGTAGACTGATGTATTTATAAACGTATTTGATTGATGTTAAAACAGACGTCAAAAGATGTCAGCAATTTGGGTAATTTCCCATGAACTATTCTATTTTATTGCGGTCAAGAATTGTCCCCTGGCGTCTGCTAATGGGCTTAAGTCGATGCATCAGCATTTAGCCTCCAGTTTTGCCATGCGATTAGCGCGCTCATTTCCCCTCATTGCATTACTCCTCTGTGTCCGAAGACCCACTGCAGGATCCCTTTTTCAAAGCGAGCGATATTTTGAAATTCGGCGAAGCATTTCTGGATTCTGGAGAGGTTTTTTCCATGTATATCTCACCGCATTTAGAGCAGCTTGGCTGTACTTCTTAGAATACTGCCTCGCAGATCTCAGAACCAATGTTCTTTTGCGTACTTTTGTCCTCCGGGCACAATCCTTCTCCCATGGATCATATCTCCCTGGAGGATGATCCACGAATGTATCTAATGAGACTGACGTTTCTGCCGCTATCTGTCAAAGCATTTGTTTTTGTAGGTCAGTTAGCTTCGCACCAGATCGGTACAAGATTAACATCGCCTTACTGGTGCAGATTGATTCAATATTAGTTACCAGTAGATAACATGCGGAGTAGTAAAGTTTTGCTACAACGGGGTTGGCAAAAAGGGTCAAAGGTGCAGTAGTTACCAGGATTCACCATTAGTACTACATGTATGTCAATATGTCGTCCTGGTTGCTCAGAAACCAAACAAAATCAAAGAGAAACGATGAAGGAATGAAAAGAACTGTGTAAGAAATACAGCTCTTATAAGAGGAATGAGTCTGAGTATCTGCAAGAAATAATTTTGGAAAGACAGTTTCAATAAACAGTGTTTACAGTGCGAGCCGCGGTCTGAAATGATTGTGAACTTGAATGTAGTCCACTGGCTCCCGTAGCAAAGAGCCGCAATGCGACTCGGCTTCTTCGTAGCGCCGCCGCGCCTTATCTGTGATGTAAACACCTAAATAAACTATGCTAGTGTCTCAGTGTAGTTTCTCGTTTAGAACATACCATAGTTCGCAAGCAGTAACTTTGCAGGACCTGCAGAGTTCGCACTGCGTTCTGGCCATAAAGCAGTCAGGCCAGGTTTTTCAATCGCAAGTTAACTTTCTGGTTAGCTACCTATAACAAGTTATCTTGTAGTTGCCTGCAAATGCGTTTTTTTCAATTATTTTGAGTTAACTTACGAGACGGTTATCAAATATTTATGCTGCAATCGGCGTATGCGCCTTGTGTCATACCCTCAGACCGTCGTACGAGTCAAACATGACATCTCGAATTTTTTGAATGAATAAAATAGTCAAAATTTGGCTGAAACTTTCGTCAAGCAAGTTAAGGTTTTGCTTGTACAAATGTATAGTAGTAGACCCTGAAGATAGGATTATAATAATGGTGGTAAAAAAAGGTGACAAATACAAAGTCTTATCTACCTTGATAGGTCAGAAAATATGCTAAAAATACAATTAAGTTCGTTAAATATTTGTTAAATATATAATATATAATCCAAGACACAAAAATAAAGGTCTTCAGCAGCGGAGAAGAAATACGACCATTCATGTTGCTAAAATTTATCAAAAACTGTTTTCTAGCACAGAGAATATGAAGAATATGAAGAAAAGAGGAAATCTTTTCTCAAAAGATGAGGGAATGGCTTCAGTTATCAACGTTTGGCTCTGATGTGATGTAAAATCTGCCACATTAATGAAGGTCTAAGCTAAGCTGTAAGTTGTGTGTGTTGATGATAATTCCATTGGATTCTTGTCTTAAATACACTAACTTGAGATTCAAACCTAGAAATAACTTGCGCATCCACTGTTTATTATCTATTCTGGAAATTGCATATGCAAATTTGATGAATTTCAAAAATGAGAGAGGTACGAAATAATTATATTCACTGTACACTGTCGAATTACAAGTCATTTCCAAGCTAACAGTAGTTACACACAACGCGGACGCGGTGATGATTTCCAGTAATTGTCAAAGTTTTTCGTAATTTATAACATTGAACATAACCTGTCTTCAGAAAGGACAACATATAAATAACCCATCGGGCACAGCTAATAGATATACTTCATTGGCAGCATATTCAGAGATGATTTTCTCACAAATATAACTGATTTTATACACATGCAGACCAATATACATACATAATCATCCATATGCGATATTACTATTCAAGCAACTTTTTTTTCAGAGAGAAAAACCACAGACCACTCGGCTTCACAAAACATATGCAACCAAAAATGCGTGTAGTTTAGTTGAGTGATTTCTCCATAGATGGACGTTCTCAACCATCCTAGTGAGCAAACGTGGAATAACTGTTTGCGCCCTAAAAACTACCTAGTCTGCAAGATGACATCTTATAGGGTTTTTTTGACGTTTTATAGATTTTTCGCATAATACCCGTGCGGGCCTAAGCTTCATATGCATATTATGTAATGGCGGATCTGAGAATAGTTGTTACTTGTAGTCACCGCTCTTACGTCATCAACGCCATAGGAAATAAGTAAACAGATCGATTTCCGTACCATGGGCGGATCTTAATCGTCAGCGCATCTGCTACTCTCTCCAGTATGCATGAAGTAAGTTACAAGGGACCGCTGTTCTCATTATCTTCCTTGAAATACTGTAATGAATTTCTCCATTGATCCTATTTCCGGGCATTGTACAATTTTATATTGAAGATAGATAACAGGACAACTCAAATAGCACACCGATGTCAAGTAAGTTGTCACTCTGGCAGATATGATTGAAGGGCTCTCATAC